CTCTGGTGACGTTTTAATCCCTTTGTTGCCATGTTGGGGCTCCTTTCAGCCTCAGAGAGGGATGAGGGGGCTCTGGGCCCCATGACCCCATTAGGCCTAATCCCCCCACACACACACACACACCTGCTGGACCCCCCTGGGGGGATCTGATGATGTGGTTTTGGTCTCCGCAGGATGAGAAGTTTGTCCTCAGTGCTGCTGCTGCTGCTGCTTCTGGGCGCCGAGGCCGGCCGGAGGGCCAAGACCCCGAAAGGTGGGCCCCCCAGACCTGAACCAGCAGGGGAATCCTTGACCCCCCAAACCTGGACCAGCAGGGGAATCCTTGACCCCAAAGATCTGAACCATGAGGGGACACCTGGTCCCATCAGGGCTCCAGGTCCTCAGAGTCCTGATGGTCCTGCAGAATGTTTAGCACCTTTACAACTTGTAGGACCTTCAGCACCAGCAGAACCTTTAGAACCTGCAGAATTTTAGAACCTTTGGAACCCTTAAACCAGCAGCATTCCCGTGTCCGACCCCGTCCGACCCTAACCCACCTTTAGGACCTGTAACACCTTTAGAACCTGGTCCGACCCTAACCCACCTTTAGGACCTGTAACACCTTTAGAACCTGGTCCGACCCTAACCCACCTTTAGGACATGTAACACCTTTAGAACATGGTCCGACCCGAACTCACCTCTAGGACCTTTAGAACCTTTAGCAGCCTTAGAAGCCGCAACGTTCCCGTGTCTGACCCGGTCTGACTCTAACCCACCTTTAGGACCTTAAGAACCCGGTCCAACCTGACCTCTGTGTGTCTGCAGGTGGGAACCCGGACCGGTCTCAGCCCGCCTCGGACTGCCCCCCTGCAGAGACCCGGTACGGGAAATGTGTGCCGGAGCAGGGCGACTGTGGGGACGGGCTGAGGGAGGCCACCTGCAGGGGGACCAGCACCCAGATCCACTGCAGGGTGCCCTGCAACTGGAAGAAGGACATCAGTAAGACCCAGAGTCCACATGGGCCCAAAACACCAGAGTCCACATGTCCGCAAAACTACATAAAAACAGGGTCAATCAGAGTCCAAATGTCTCTTCAGGTGACTGCAAGTACAAGTTTGAGCGGTGGAGTCCCTGCGACGGCGCCACCAACACCAAGACCCGGTCCGGGAAGCTGAAGCGGGCGCTCTTCAACGCCGAGTGCCAGACCTCCGTCAAGGTGTCCAAACCCTGCTCCCACAAGGCCAAGAAGCCCAGAGGTGAGAGGCCCCATCTGGATCTGCTGCTCTGGGACCCTTTTCAGACCTCCAAGGGTTTGATGAGAAAGCTGGACCCTGGAACCCGGTTCTATGCTTAACCCTAAGACTAGGGCTACCCTAAGCTAAATCCTAACCATAGTGCTACCTAAACTAAAGCCTAACCCAAGTTTTACCCTAAATTAAACCCTAACCCTTGGGTTACCCTAACGAAACCCTAACCCTAGGGTTATTCTAAACTAAACCCTGACCTGATGGCTACCCTAAGCTAAACCCTAACCTTGGGGCTACCTTAAATTGAACCCTAACCCTAGGGCTACCCTAAACTGAACCCTAACCTTAGGGCTACCCTAAACTGAACCCTTACACTAGGGCTACCCCAGGGCTACCTCAATTCAATTCAATTTTATTTGTATAGCACCAAATCACAACAACAGTTATCTCACAGCGCTTTCCAAACAGAGCAGGTCAGACCAGACCCTGAAGTTATTTAGAGAAGCCCAACAATTCTCACCAAGAGCAAGCACTAGGCGACAAAGGCAAGGAAAAACTTCCTTTAAGAGGCAGAAACCTCGAGCAGAACCATGGTTCAGGTTTTGCAGCGGCCATTTGCCTCGGCCGGTTGGGGGTGAGAGACAGAGAGGGAGAGAGAGAGAGAGGGAGGCAGCCTACACAGTAACGCATAGACTGGATGGAAAATGGTAAAGATATTGATTGTGATGATGATGTCATGATAATGATACCAGTAATAATAGCAATAAGACTATGAAGAGTAGCTGTAATTGTAGCAGTGTAGGAAACCCGGGGGACTACCAATTACAGATCCAGACTCCACAGCTCTATGAACACCTGCAGGAAAAAGCACACGACTACGGGAAAGCGAAAAAGTCCAGTTAGTAAATTAGGTTGAGGTTACACTGAGAGGGATAGCATAACTAAGGGTGGAACTAAACCCTAACCCTAGGGCTACCCTAATCTAAACCCTAGGGCTACTGTAAACTAAAGCCTAACCCTAAACTAAACCTTAACCCTAGGGCTACCTAAACTAAACCCCAACCTTAGGACTACCTTAGACTAAACCCTAACCATAGTGCAAACTAAACTAAAGCCTAACCCAAGTTTTACCCTAAATGTAACCCTAACCCTAGGGTTATCCTAAACTGAACCCTAACCCTAGTGTTACCCTAAACTAAACTCTAGAGCTACCTAAACTAAACCCTAACCCTAGGGCTACCCTAACTAAAGCCTAACCCTAGGGTTATCCCAACCTAAAGCCTAACCCTACGGCTACCTAAACTAAAGCCTAACCCCAGGGCTACCTAAACTAAATCCTAACCCTAGGGTCAACCTTGGGCAGTCAAAGGCTTAACCAGGGTTCTATCAGCAATGGCTTCCCATTCTTGTGAATAGTATTGAATCGTATTGTTTGTTTGGTTTATTGTTATTTCCTTTAATATAGTTTGGTTTTAATATCATAAATTCATTTGCGACACAGCTGGAGGCAGATGTATCAGTGAGCCCAGTGGGATCTGGACCAGTCTTGATCCCTGGTGGGATCTGAGATCTGGGCCAGTCCAGACCCCCTGGTGGGATCTGGGTCCAGTTAAAGTCCGCTTTGTGCTGCTTGGTGAGTTTCTGCCTTCTTTGTGTCTGCAGGTGAGAAGAAGTCAAACTGAAGGAAGGAAAGCCGTCGTCCCTCCACAGAACAGACTCCAGAACCTTCATCCTCTTCACTTCGATGTCGTCTCTTAAACCCGGAAAGCTTTTTAGATGAGAATAATCCTCCTGTTTTAGCCAATAGCCTAACAGCTCCTTTAGTTCTTTTAGAGTTCATTAACATCCAGAAAAATCTGGATCTTCCGGGTCAGTTCTGAAAGCTCTGAGCGGAGAAACAAAAGTCTATTTTTGGAGCTATTTGATGAGACTTGTACAAATGAACAAATTAAATCCTGTACATTGTTTTGAAGGCTTTGGTGTGTTTATTTGAGTTGCTGCAAATGAGCTACACAGAAATCAAACGGTTTCAGGAGGGAGAAACTTTCTAAAATGAGCCCCTCAGACGTAAAGTGACAAAACTTGGGGCCCCTCAGGGGCCTCCAGGGGCCCCCTCAGGCCAGCCGGCGGCAGCGCAGCAGGCGGCAGAAGGTCTCTCTGAAGGTGGGGTTGCACAGGGCGTAGCACCCCGGGTTGAGGGCGCTGTTGACGTAGCAGAGCCAGTAGCCGGCGGCCCACAGCGCCTCGGGAACGCACACGTGGCAGAAGGCGGCCACCACGGCCATCACGTTGTAGGGCGTCCAGGTGAGGACGAAGGCCAGCAGGACGGCCAGGATGGTCCTGGTGACCCTGCGCTCCCGGGCCATCACCCTGCGCCGCCTCCTCTCCTGGGACCGGAGGCTGGGGCAGGCGGAGAAGGCCGCCGAGGCCGACCGGTGCAGGTCGGGGCTGGACGACGACTCCATGTCCAGCTGGGTGTCATCGAAGGTTTGGGAGGCCCGAAAACGGCACTAGAGACAAGACCAGGG